AAAGTTAGTATAATAGTTTAGATGATATCCCAAAGTCTATTAGAGCACTTTTTCTCTTTTCCAAGGAAAAGGCAATGGGAGTGTAAAAGAAATTAAAGGAGAGCTAGATAACATCTTTTGAGATAATGTATGACTACATTATGACATCAGTATATTTAATTCATTTATGTTATTTATTAAAATGTTTATGCCCATATTTTCCTTTTCAGAAAGCCTTTAGAATAATACATAATTTCAAAATATTCTCATACAAAAAGAATAAAGCCAACAACTTAAAACAGAAGGGGAAAAAGCCAGAAGACAAATTAATCCAGATTTAAAACCCAACCAGAACCCAAAAGAATAAAATAGTTTATGCCCTGCCTAATTAAAAAAATGCTTTTGAATGGATGCAGCTAGAAAGCAAGAGGCTTTTCCACAATTAATAATCCCATTTCTTCTGTTAAGACCTAGACTAACTACTTATAGTGACTGCATTCATAGCATCCTAGGGGCTAAGTCAGGAAGAGCTTGATGTATACTAAAACATGAAGTTTTAACAACAGCAGTTATTTGGATATTCAAAAGGCTTTTGATAATGTCCTTAATGAAAGGCTCTCAAGCTCCTTGCTCATGGATATGAAGAAAAAAAGGGTCCTCTTTGGATTGAAACTGGTTAAAGAAAACATAAGAAAATAAGGAATAGCAATATCTACATATTATTAGCAAAGGGAACTCTGTAAATGGGCTATCCAATAAAAGTATTTTTGTTCACAGACATACAGAGGTTAGGAATAAGCAGCTCAAACTAGTGAATGCTACCCATTTATTTAAGGTGATTAAAAAAAGAAGGGACAGGGGTCTAAAAAGCTCTCTTTAAACAGAGGAAAAGAATATAAACATGGTAAATGCCATACCACCTAAGTAGTGATGCAAACCATCGAGACAGGAATGGCTAAATTCATGTATAAACAACTAAAATGATGGCAACCGAATAGGAATGGAAGGAGTTCGCAGAGTTCAACAGAGCAGTGAACATGATTGCTGTGAAGATGGGAAATTCAGGGCCAGAAATATAAAGAAAGGAATTTAAAATAAAACAGTCAATACCATAATGTCAAAGCTTTGATCAAAATCTATGACATAACTCATTGTAATAGTTATTTATTTATTTATTTATTTATTTATTTATTTATTTATTTATTTATTTATTTGTCAATTGCTTACAAGATATAGGTACAAGTAAAAACATAGTTATGAATACATGGATACATATAAGAAAAATGAAAAATAAAAGAAACAATAGGACAGGGATGGTAGGCATGTTGGTGCGCTTATGCATGCCCCCTAAGAGGTCTCTTAGGAAAGGGGTGAGGTCAATAGTAGACAGTCTAAGGTTAAAGTTTTTGGGATTTGGGAAAGAAACCACAGAGTCAGATAGAGCATTCCAGACATTGACCACTCTGTTGCTGAAGTTGTATTTCCTGCAATCAAGTTTGGTGCGATTAACCTTGAGTTTGTATCTATTGTTTGCTCTTGTGTTGTTATGGTTGAAGCTGAAGTATTCATTGACAGGTAGGAGATTGCAATGTATGATTTTATATACTATACTTAGATCGAACCAAAGGCGGCATAGTTCTAGGTTTTCTAGGTCTAGAATTTCAAGTCTGGTGGCATAAGGTATTCTACAACGAGTAGAGGAGAACTCTCCTTGTGAAATATTTCTGGACTTTCTCAACTGTGTTAATAATAGATACGTAATGTGGGTTCCAGACTGATGAGCTGTATTCGAGTATTGATCTAGCAAATGTTTTGTATGCTCTAGTTAGTAGTATAATATTACCAGAGAAAAAGCTACGTAAGATTAGGTTAACAACTCTTAACGCCTTTTTGGCTATGTAGTTACAGTGGGCTCTAGCACTTAGATCATTAGAAATGAGTACTCCGAGATCCTTGACAGAGTTTGGATCATCAACAAAGTCTTGACTATTCAGCCTGTATTTTATTTTCTGTTGTTGTTGTTTTTTTTGCCAATATGTAGGACATAGCATTTATTTGTTGAGATTTGAAGTTGCCATTTGTTTGACCATTCTGATACATAGTCAAGGTCTTTTTGAAGGGTAGCAGTATTGTCTGTGGTGTTGAATAGCTTTACATCATCAGCAAAGAGAACGCAGTTGCTGTTAATATGATCACAGAGGTCATTTATGTAGAGTATGAAAAGAGTTGGTCCTAGGACACTGCCTTGGGGAACACTACGTTTACATAATTATCACAAAGTATTACAAATGCACTAAAATATTTTTGTAAAATGGAAAAGATTCAGCAAAGGGCATTAAGAACAATCAATTTTTGGATGAACTGTCCAAGGTAAGGGCAGTTGTGAGGTAAGGCTAAAAACATTTAAGCCTTTTTGATTTTTGATTTAGGGAAAAAGCAAGCAAGAGGATAAGAAGGCATGAGAGATGTGTAGAAAATTATGGATATGACACATCGATAAGCATTAAAGAACCTGGATAGGAAGAACAATTTCTTCCTCTTCCATAATACCAGAATCCATGATACTCCTGTTAAGAAGACTGATTTGCAGACGGAAAAGAAACTCAGCATTGTCAAACTACAGAATTCACTATTACAAGACTGACAATGATCATTAATATGATGATCTTGAAAGGGAATTACAATTTTTATTAGAGGAATAAAGAGATTGATGAACTAATACTCGTCCATTGGTCTTCTGAAAATCCAAAGCCATTTTCATTTAGCTAAAGGGAATCTGGGGGATCTGCGATGCTTTATCCTTTTTTTGAAGCATGAATTATGGAAATATACTCACAAGTACATAACATACAACTTGAGAATAGCTAAATAAACATGATGAGAACATACAAGATAATATATATTTCAACTGGAATATATGCTGAGCAAATATTCATGAAAACTTTAAAGACACTATTATATTATAAGATTAGTAAAAATGAAGAACTTAGCAATTATAAGAAAATAAAGTATTTGTACTAATTCTTCTTTCCCTGAAGTCATTTTCCTCTCATTTTTAAATTTCTGGTCTATATTCATTTTTCTGACCCAATCAAGTCCTGATTCACTCTTGACATTAGCAAATAATGGCCTGCCTTATTTGTGCTAATGCTATAGGTAACAACTCTGTTCAACTCAGTTCTTGGATCAAATCTTCCTCCTAAATTCTGCAGATTAGGGGCATATTTTGTCTCTCAACAATGAATGAATGGATGCCAGGATAGTATTTGGCCAAGCTTCTACTGATTCTGAGAACAGAATATTGCAAGCATACAATGTGACTTTTTCTACACCAGCTTATTTTTCTATGCCCTTGTCTATCTCTTGGGCACTGTATGACATTGTACCAGGCTGTTATTGCTGCCTTTGATAATTGACATGGAAAATTGCCATTAAGCTGTAGCCCTGACCTAACAAAGTCCTGGCCAGATGAAATGAACTTGCCACTGTGCCTGGCATTGTCTAGCAACTTACTAAGGATGGTAATGGGGGTGGAGGGTGGGGAAGCCCCTTGCAGGAGGAGCCAAACTTACTGACCAAGTCCACCAACCTTCCTGGCATCCTAACAAAATCCGGTAATCAGAAACAGCAAATGCCCATTACTCCTTAAGGAACAAGTTAATGGCCATTCTTTTCAGCTCTGCTCAGAAAAAGCCAAGCCTCGCTAACATGCTCTGGCCAGCTGGATAGCTCTCAAAACTAGTGATAAGAAGGCTGTTTACAGGAATGACCAAGCTTGCCAATCAGTTCTGCCAATCTTCTGGCATCCTAAAAAAACCCAGTGATCAGAGGTAGTAGAGCTCATAAGAACAAGTCAATGGGCATTCTTCAGTGTAATGCCAAGTCTGGTACCCGACAAAAACAAACAAAAGGAATGTACTTTTTAGAGTTTTGGAAAGCTTAATTTTTAAGTTGAATAAGATATTTTCTGCACTAGTTCAATTACTGCAACTTAAACTGTTTTCTGATCCCTGCCATCTCTTTTTTAAAAAAGACAGAGGTAAATTTCTAAAACATATTATGATAAAACTCTCGAAGGCATTTGGCTAAAAAGTCTACTGTTATCATCTAATCATGTCAAAACCTGAAATAGGGTATTTTTCTGATGATGTCCCAAAGAAATGTGGAGGGTAGTTCGTCCCTCTGGCACAGCTTGTTAAGTATGTGTCTTTACCTTGATGTTTCAGAAGGTGATGGAAACAATCCTCTAAGGGAGTATTTGGGATTGTTGGATGACAGCTATATGTCTATTTATAATTTGAATAATTTATTATAATTGATATTTATTTTGTGGGTGTTTCTATCTGTGTGACTCATATGTTGTAAAGATGCTTGGAATTGGGAAAAGTAGGCAACAAATACATTTAAATAAACAAACAACTGAACAGTTAATGACTATTCCCCCCCAAATTCAAATCTCAAATTGATTCAGATCAAATTGGCTATGCTAGCCACTCCAATGAAATATTCATTGACTCACTCAATTCATTCATTTAAATTGGCTTGTCCCCAGTTTCAATGTGCAAACTTGAATCAAATAACGCCTTCTTAAAATTTTCAGTTTCAAGTGGATCAGTATTGATTCATGTCAAATATGAACATGTAAGAATATTCACAAACTTGTATTGAAACTGTTGCAGTCCCTAGCCACAACAACTAATCCAATCTCTAATATGTAAAGCTATATTCAATAAAATCTTGAATATAAACTCTCTGAATTTGTGTGGTGTCTATGTGTTTCCTTTCCTTGCAAATTTTGTAACTATTCTATATTGGTTGAAAATAAACCTTTGAAGCAGATTATAAAGTGCCCAAAGCTTTAAAATAAATTGCTATTATGTCTATTAAATTGCTTAATGCATTATAAGAACGTTTAAGTATTTTTATATTTTTATTGTCCTTTTTATGCTATGGAAAAAAAGGCACAAGAGGCCGTTTAGTTAACAAATTGCATTTTTCAAAAAGACAGGCTATATACTTACTTTTGAAGTTTTTCAGTGGTCTCTTGAAAAGCATCTGAAGCTTGCTGAAATTTTAATTCTATGCTTGTTTTCTCTGCTGCCATTTGCTGGAGCTGAGTCACCAGCTCCTCATTTTGAAGAAAGAGCATGGAGACAATATCATCTTTATTTTTCAAAGCTTTTTCATATGTTGTAAGTGTGGAGTTGAACTGATCCTTAAGATTTGCTTCTTGGGATAGAGCTTGATGCAAACTGATGAAACAAAAAACATGTACATCAGTGGTGATCAATACAATGTAATTTTAAATATATCAATCAAAAGGACATAAATATGTGCATACACATTCATTCGTTTATTAAGCATATAAAGTGACATAAGAAAACCTGCTATGTCTTTTATAATAGTTTTACAATACATTTAAATTAACATAGAACTGACGCAGCAGTTAATTCTTTAGAGCATTCTGATTATTTTTCTTTCTTTTCTTCTAAGTAGAAGCAAATATTATTCAGGAGTTTCTCTGTATTTACAGGTTCAAGTTGCTTCTGATTTGTACAATAATTCCCATATCTCTTGCTTTTGTCAACACAACAATTCTTTCTCAGGGAGAAACTTCAGCAAAATGAAACTGATTATCTTTAAGATGATAGATAGATAGATAGATAGATAGATAGATAGATAGATAGATAGACAGATAGACAGACAGATAGACGATAGGTAATTGCAGAAATTTATTTTGGAGGTTCAACCTCATAGGCTATATCTGAATGAAAAAATAAAGGCAACAACATCAGAATGAGCTGGTCATACTATAATCAGGTTCCTTGTATATGCCTACATTCTAATTTCATATTCTTACTACGTACAAAATAATCTTTACTGAGCAGAACAGTGTAGATCTAAATTTAGGGATTTCCGTTTGAAAGAGCAAGATGTGAAACTGATGCTGTATTCTATTATTTCTACCTGTCTTATTCCCAGGGGCTGTGCCAACTCAGCCCCTAAGTAGCTTTTGGTAAGCTCCTGGAGAGCATAGTTGTGTAGAAAACCTGGTAATCAATGCCTGGACAGATGACTGGAAGCCAGGAGAGACATCAGGGCAATTTGAAGGAAGATTACTGGGAGGAGCCAGGAGGCTATTTGGCTATTCCATGACTAGGTGCTCAAGCTTTCTAGGTTCCTGAGCCTTTTCCCTTTTGTCCAGGAAATCTGTTCAGCTGCTGGTATCAGATATATGACTGTGACTACACACGAGTGTCTTTCTATGTGCACACTTCAATGTGTGAAAGTTTGAGTTCAGTTTTGATCTTGATTTGTTACTATAAAAAACAAGAAATGTTTAAAACAGCTGCTGAGCATAATAAAATATGTTATATATCTCTCTATATGGAGATTCTCAGACATCCAACTCATGGTTGTTGCAGAAGTGCTTTTTCTAGTGGCAACTGGACTTTCTTTATTTTTCCTTGAAGACATTTTGCTTCTCATCCAAGAAGCTTCTTCAGTTCTGAACTTTTCAGGTTGCCTCTTGAAAAAGCACCTTATTTTATATATACTTTATTTCACCCTTCCTAAAATTTTCCCAGGGAAGTCTAGTTGGAGTTATTTCTCAGATTTTCTTTCTTGGAATATTTTTATGAAGTAGGAAACAGTGGTTTACGGATTACTTCCATTTTAATGACTGAACAGGAATCCTGTATTAACAGTACAGAAATTTTATATCTATTTTTGAAATTGTTTTTAAATTAGCCAAAATAAAAGTAAATTCATAAACAAATGTTTTCTTCAAAATGAGTGCTTTATTTTTTACCCTACACTGTTTTGTTAGAAGCTTGGGTTTTTGTTTTTTTTACAAACATTGGGTATATAGACTGAACATATCTAAATTACTGTGTAGGTATAAAATGAAATAGAAACTATATTTTTCTACTGAAAAGCAAGAAGAACAAACAAATCCTGCATTAAGTTTATTGGCAATGTCCTTTTGCTTCTGAACAAAAAAAGAAGCACAACCAGATAGCTATTTCCTATAGAAATTAAAACTCACCAGGAATGCATAAGTAAAATACAGCTGATTTAATGGGAATCTAAAAGTTAAAGGTCAAGGAATTGGCATGTCATTACACCTACTACCTGAGGTTGTTTGAAAATGATGTGAAGTATCTATTCAATTAAATAAGGACATTTTTAAATTATAAATAATGTATAAAGAAATAAAAAGTCAGTAGAAGAATAACAGATAAAATATATTAAACATGACTTTACCATAAATGAAAAAGAAGAAGCATTTCAAAGTAGTATCCTGAGCTATAAGCTGAAGAAATCAGTATACTATTTTCAAATATTAAAAAAAGAAGAATCTTGTTGGATTAGACCAAAGCCTATTTTAGTCTAGCATTCTGTGACTGAGTTCTCATAGCATATTTGTTGATAAACCATAACTGATTGGGTGAGCACAATATTTAAGGCATATAATATTTTATCAATGTAACAACACAACATGTGAATTTAATTTCCAGTCATCCAGATGTCTATGAAGTTTCTTAGTCATCCAGGTCATAGTTGTCTCATAGGTGGTTTTTTTTGGAAAAGGCAACTGGACTGACTTTTTTTTTTAGATAGTCATTTTATCTTCCATGAATTTATCATATTACATCAAAGTGGCATCACACGGAAGTCTAGAATTTAGTTTTTTATTTTTTAATGCTACATGTGGAGATTTGAATTTACAAAAGGATCCATAGGATCAAGCTATATATCCAACTATAAAAAGGCAAAGGTTTCCCCTGCCAGTTGTGTCCACCTTTAGGGAAGTGGTGCTCATCTCTGATTTATAGCTGAAAAGCTAATATTGTCCAAAGATGCTTCCGTAGTCATGTGGCCGGCATGTTAAATAGGTAGCTGCATGATGTTCACAACTAAGAAAGCTAAACATGATCATTCACATTTGATACAAAGCGTAAAAAAGTAAAATCTAAACCCTGCAAGAAACATTCAGACAACTTATCATTTGAGTCCATCCTTTAAAATATATATAAATTAGTAGCTTTTTACAGTATATGAAGAAGAACCTGGTGAAGGGCTCATTCAGTTAAATGTTATAACAGCAATATCTTAGTAAAGTCTCCAAATCTTGGAGATGTAATGGAACCATCGGCACCATTTCCATGGCACTATAATTCACTTCAAGCAGTTGAAAGGCCTCTAAAAAGGAGCTCAATTAGTTGCCATTTACCTTCATTATTATCTCCATGGAATAGGCTTACTCTGCTTTAAAATTTATACGACTCATTTTGCAAGCTGATGTTTTGAAAATAAAAAACAGTTTGAAGGAAATCATGATTCACTAGTGAGACAAAGCGGAAATCAATTCCAATTTGATATTGATAGCTTCCATGTGATGTAAAGTGTGGGTTCTTTTTAATTAAATGTAAACATGTTTAGTTCTAAAGTCCAGTAAGGATGACAAGAGCCACTAGAATGGATTGCTTAAGCATCGATCAACTGATTTTCCAAAGTCTTTTGTTTATTTCCTAGGATTCTTGAGCAATCTGTGGCAGGGTTAGTGTCAGTTCCAACTGACTTTAATTTAGGTCATTTTCAGGTAAGAGAAGAGAAAAAAAAGAGCAGTCTTGACAACAATGTTGAGTGCTCAAGTGATACCCAAAGTGATTCATTAACCATGTCCTTCTGATAGCTAATCAATACCAATGCATGGAGCCAAGCACACTGCTCTAAACTGCCCTTCTCCTGAAAGCTAAGTCTTGGTAAATATTTAATGGCAGTAAAGGTGTTTTGGTTGTTATCAAACTGATACCTTAAAGAACTCTTAAAAGAACTTTTATCTTCCTTCTCTTTTCGGAATTTGTCCAGTCATTAAATGGCCCTGATGCAAAATGCTTATTTATTTCAGTTGACTGAATAAAGGATATTCAACTGCCCTCTGTACTATATGTATTAGTGAAAAATCTCTAGATTTTTGTAAAAAAAAAAAAAAACTTCCCAAACCCGAGGTTTGTTTTGAAAACATGAGGGTATATAATGAGCCAGATTGAAGCTCAGAGTGTAGCATTTAATTGTTTTTAACTGAATTAGGGGATCAGGTGTAGGAAATTTTGTGCCACTAGGAATTTTGGACTATAACTGCAGTCTTCCTCAGATAGCTATCTGAGAAAAAGAGAGATCAGGTTGCCTATCCCTCTACTTGTTCAATCAAACAGTCCAATTACATGCTGAAAGCAGGCTGAGTTTACAAAAATAGCCCTCAGAGGCAATAGGAAACCACTTCCATATTCCTGCCAAGGAAATGGCATGAACTGAGTTCAAATCAGAGATTTCTTAGTCCACAAAACGCTTTAACTGAAGTTTTATTTGTTAACTGTCTTTTTTCTTCTCATGTATTAAAATGGTTTAATTTATTTCTTGGGTTTAATTTATTTCTTCCTGTACATGGTCATTGGATTGGACTTTTTCATCAAAATATATAAAACTTTGGAGCCAATCTACTTTGTGCAGTATACACATACCTACTGCTGCTTTTCCTCAAGCAAAGATCTTGAAATAAGGAAGTTAAAAGTGTAATTGACAAGGAAGAAACTTTGGAAGCTATATTTTTTATTGGTAATCCAGACATATAGTTAGAATACCCACACTCTTGATCAATCCTTATATTATTTGTCAAATTTATATAGCTGCCCATCTCACAAAAAAGTATTGCTTAGAAATGTGACCCATAGAAGATAATTATACTCATGCATCCACCCTATTGTAGTTTGGGCAGAATGGAAATGATCTCATTGGCATTCCAGCTCATATTGCTCAATCAGGTGTTATTGCAGGATTTTCAGTTGTATATGGAGTCTACACAAATTTAGGAGTTTTACCACTGAAGAAGGATAATTTCAAAATGCAGCAGAAATATGTGATTGGAAATGAGATGGAAACATCTGGGCCACTTACTATTCTCCCCTCTCTCTCCCATTTTATGTGTTGAAGTTACTTTATCTGCAGTTATGCTTATCTTGTAAGAACACTTTGTATTTATGTGGAATCCGACACTTTTTGTTTGAAATAAATATGTTAAAGGCTAGTTCTTTGTTTTGCAGAATGCTAGACTTTTTAAAAAAATGTTTCGAACTTTTTTAAAAAATATAATGGATTTGAAGACTGTGTCTGCCCAAGAATTCTATTTTTAATCCTAACTTTAGACAGTTTGCCATGCAACATGCATAGTTCAATTATATATTCCGTA